TGAAGAAAAATCATATGAATTATTTTCATTGAATATCAAAGAGAACTGAAGGAAAAATAATCTGAAAAATAAAAAAGCTCAATTAAAACTGAACTGTTTGTCAGAAAAATTTGATCTTTTTACGTAGCCTATAAAGTAGAGTAATATCCCAAATCATCAAGCAAAAATCTTTCTCCTTTCTAGAAAAAAGTTAGTTTTACTAGCAAAATAAAGGGCGGCGTTGGCTGAAGTATTCACATATTAAGACTGATTGATATAGAAGCATATCATACAGAAATCGGCTCCTACACAGCAGTCTTAGGAAAATATTATTTTCATACACAATCAACGTTGCTCTATCAAATGCAACACTATACAGAAGCATATATGAGAAAGAATAAGCAAGGTATAAAAAAATGGATACAGTTGTAGAACAAGTCTATATAGAAAACAGCGAGGCACTCTTTATATAAAAAAGGGAAAAATTTGGTCAGTTAAAATAAACACTTTTTTAAAATTTATTGGAATATCTGAGATGTACAAACATAGGCACGTCTGGATAGCACACCCTGAAAACATTTGTAGCAAAGTTGAAACGCGTAGCGGCAACTAAATATTTGTATTCACTATCAACAACTTGAAAACGAGTTTCTTCTAAGTAAAAAAAAAGAATGAGCTTTAACCAACAATGTGTACACACGTAGATATAAATGATTGCATTTGTACAATGAGTGATAGCTATAAAAGAGTTGTACCAACTTATCTGAATGAGAGTCATCATGATCGTATAATGCTTTTCTTGGTATCTCCACTTTGATTACTTTCCACTTCTCGAATTCTTATAACCGAGTGATGATGATGCTCAGAAATGTGTATCGTATGGTTTCTTGCTGACATCAATATAGAAAAAAGCTACTCTATCTAGAGTAAAATAGAAAAGAGAGAGAAAATGATACTGATGACGCACATCAAATGTTTGACAATCTTAGACATAGCATGCTCATTTGACGTTAGTCTATTACAACCATGAATAACACTGACATGGAGACGTCGGAAGATGATACGTCCTTACTCCGTTCAGCCAAGTTTTGGCTGCTACTTTTGCTACAAATTCCAGCGATCATACTTTCTCTTCTCATCTTTGTCTTTTTTGCCAAGCATGATGCTGCCAGACGTGCTCCACAAAACCGTGCTCTACTGATTTTGCTCGTAGTTAACTTCATTGAGCTATCATCTGTGATGCCATTTTCCCTCCACTTTCTTTGGTTGGGCCACGTCAGTCCAGCCACACCAACTTATTGTACGTGGTGGACCTTCTTTGAGTACACAATAGCCGTAACAAGTGAATATCTTATTGCCACCATTTCTATGCAACGACACATGCTTATTTTTAACGGGCATATTCTAAGAACTCGCTGGATGCGCAATTTGTTGCATTATCTACCACTTCTTTTCTGTCTCACATATCCCATGATATTTTATATATTTGCCATCATCCTCTACCCATGCGATGGCACTCAATGGGACTTCACCAGCACTCTCTGTGGTCTTGCCAATTGTTATTTTTTATTTAACCCAGTGCTTGGCACATTCGATTGGATGTTCAATAACGGTATGCCTATGGTTATAGACGTATTAGCCAATGCGATCCTTATCGCACGAGTAGTTAGACAGAAACGTCGCCATCAACCGTTGGTGACGTGGCGGCGCCAGCGACGCATGACATTGCAATTATTTTTCATCTCAAGTCTTTACATTGTCTCCTGGACACCATGTCTCTTAGTAGGAACCGTACAGATACTCGGATATCCGGACTTTCTGGCTCAGATTCAAATAAACTATTTTATTGACCTCGTCTATTTCGTATGCCTTGTTCTTCCATGGGTATATCTCGGTCTTGTTCCTGAGCTTACTAAATGGATTAGAAAGTTGTGTCGCATTGAACAAGCAAGAAATGTGGTGGGAACCGTACAAGCAACTCATGTCACCAAGAACATGAATCATCGAACCACAACCTAGCACCTCAGTGCATTCATATGAATACTTGTTTGTTCGTTATACTAGGCCTTTTTTAGTTCACGTTTATGCCTTGAGAGTTATCATGTAGCGGAACGTAGATAATCATTTTGGCAGCCTTCTGACCAAGGCAGGTCGAAACTACTGCTTATGCCGTAGTTAGAAGAACTTTATTTCGGTCACTGCTGCGTCTTCTCGCCAAGTTTTCATGGTACACAATTAGAACCAATAAGTGACCACACATAGATAGATGATCTAATGAGAAAACAGTATTTTCACATCGATGGTGAGAACTCTGCTGATATATCGCATTGCTCATTTCAGAATAAATGTTTTTGTAGATCTTGTAAATTGCTTCGATTAAATCGACTGATTTTATCCATGATAAATGTTCAACAAAACAAAATTTCAAATGAAACCCTTGAATTAAACCTCAGTCTCATTCATCAACTATATCGGCTGGACATCGAAAAATTATCGATAAAACAACATTGGAGCAAAAAAAAGGTTGAAAATATGTAGGAGAAACATGTTACTATGTGGAGGTGTTAAATGAGAACTAACGAGAACACGTATTCAACTGACCCATCGCTTTGAATTCGAACTCTGTGCATAGGGTAGACGCCAAGGAATGAGTGTGAGGTGTGGGTGTGGATGTGAATGTGGGTGTGAGTGTGGGTGGATATAAATAATAAAGAGAAGACCCACACTCAGCCACATGCACACCCCTACACACACACCCCATCCACCCCACTCAAACCCACACCCACACTCCACCCACACACCCGCTGAATAGCTTTATCACTTCATCTTGCAACTGTGGTATTATACTTCAATAGATATTAAACCAATATTCTGCTCGCTCCGCTTTATTTGTCTGACATCAAACACTTAAGCAGATCACCAATATGTAATGCAGTTCAAATGCTTTCTATACATATAAAAAATGAGATGACTTATAATAGAAAAACGAATGTAATCAGTATCGGTCACTGATATGTATAAAGAAGAATGATTTTGAAGAAAAAGATCATTATTCACATGATATTACAAATAGCTGAAGTTGGATTCAATGGCTTGCTTGCTGTCAATGGTATATATATATTGATTTCTTTCAGAAAAGTAAGATAGTCTTTTAAAGTGAGTGTTGCGTGCTGTGATTTGTTAACATCTTCTTTCAATGATAAAAACATTCCTTGTTTATTGTCTTGACACATAGAATAAGCTTGATGTAATAATTGACCATTCATTCCTTCAAAAACAGGTAGAAGAGCATCAAGTTCTTTATCAAGAAGAAATGATTTTACATGGTCCTCAGCCCACGTATCGATACAATGTGGATATGTCCTACAAACAAAAAAAATGTTTAACTTGGTATCATTCCATTAACCCTTCGAGGACGGTAGAATATATTTGTCCCACCTATTTTTCAGTACACAAAATGTTTGTTCTATGTTAAACTGTTACAATTTTTAAGGTAAATAGGTCGCCTATCTGTCATCTCATGCAGGTCTTTTCTCTCTTTCTTCCTCTCATATAGATCCTTCTCAGATGTCCTCCTTTCTTTCTGCTACTATATACTGACGCACGATTTCTCCCTCTCTTCTCTCGATGCATTATTATCAGGTTTTTATCTGATCATCTTAAGCCAAATACAATAGATTGATTGAAGAACCATTTTTCTATTGAAAAAAAAAACAAAATTCCCTCCTCAAAGGGTTAATAGCCACAGTTTTCTGATATATTTTGCTGTAGACTGTTGAAAAAAGGTGAGAGACAGAGTAGATTTACTAATTTAGTTTGAAAAATCACTTCAGACCACCATCTTTATTGATCATGAAGAAAATTGATTGTGTCGAGAGTAGCAACTCTTATCGAAAAGATAGCAGAACTGGGGCAAGAATATATGTATTTTTCTAACTAAAAGTAAAATTAAAAGGAACAATCTTCAATAGTTGTAGTTGATGCTTTCATTTGTGCTTCGAGAGCAATACTGTCGTACCTATACTTTGCATTTTTTACTTGCACTATGTAACAATGTCTCTTTGCATATATGAAGTATGTTTCTGAAAACTTCAATATTATCATCAATGAAAGACGTTTCAGATATTGTAAAGCTTATTAGATTTAGTAGTTTAATCATCTCCTGAATACGTATACAAATTTTATAAATATTAAAATGAATTTTGAGTTTTGCCTAATTTTGGAAGCCTGAGATTATTTTATATAAAGCAATTTTTACAATGCGACGACCCAGATATATTTCTCTTCTGTCATCATTATCCTTTCTCTTTTCTGTATTTTCTCCTTCTCTGTTGATTTGTAAAAACATGTTTTCTCTGTGTAAATGTTGTGATTGACGATATGAGAATGCCTAATAATGTGTAATTGCATCCATGTCGGCATTCCTTCTATGGAAAGTCTTTGTATATATTTTTTACGTATTGCATGCGAAATGAAAGACATTTAATTTAAAAAAATTAATACATCGAATAGACCGAATGACTTTCATATGACTCTATAAGTTTCTGTTAGTACAGATGTTTCTCCTGACGATATTAAATTTTTAAATTATTAATCCCATATAAAAAAATATATGATAAAAATTATTAGAAAAATGGATAACTTTAATCTAAACTTTTTGAAAGGACTGAGATATATTCAAGATATCTTTCGTCAATATTTTATTTTAAAACTTTTCCATTCAATATTTAAAGCACTCTATGCATGACTGAAAAATGTAACAAACAATGTATTCAGGCTTGTAGAGCATGAATCTAAATTCTTCTTGGTATTAGCGGAAACGTTTTTTTTATCTATGATAATGATTCGAAGTATTTTTCTTTTACAGATATCCATAATCATTTTGCTGAGACTCGATCAAAAAAATAGATGTTTTTCACAAATGTCATCAGAAATTATCAGCATATGACAGAAAAATATTCTTATTTTCAATCACTCTTTGATCAGATGATGGCATGACTGTCTTGAAAAACTTATCAGAACTAGTCAACTTTAAATACGAAGTGTGTCATACTAATAAAGCAAGCAAAAACATCAACTACTTTTTTCATACTTCTAAGTACGAGTATAAGTGAAAACAAAAGTATACTTGGAACTAGACAACTCAAAGTACAACTGGAACACGTTTTTGAAGTCTTCATTCGAAATAATCCAATCTGTTTCTTCAGCTCTTGATAAGCTTTATCGAATCCAAGTTTTGGAAAATCAACATAAATTAATGCTGATGTTAATACTCCAAGCCAACCATCAGCTTTGTAGTTGGCTGTCATAACTAATGGAATAATATTACATCGACGTTTAACTGCATAACTAGCTTCCATTTCACAGAATGGACTCTGCTTGTAAGCATCAGACATACAAACAAGTACAAATTCTGAATTCTCTATAGCTTTAGCCATAGCATCAAATGTAGCACCATGCATCAACTGAGAATCAATCCAAACACGTAATTGATCTTTCTCGAGAGAATTTAGAATGCGATGACAAAGTTCTTTATCATTATGTGAGTAGCTTATCATGATATCATATTGCTTTTTGATTATGATCGGTGAAGAGATTGAAGAAGGTTGTTCTTGAATTGTTTTAGGTATTGTTTCTTGTTCTTTTTCTAATTTCCATATCAATGCAGTAGCTATTAGTTGTAGTTCCTGTTGTGATGATGAAGTTAATATTCGAATATGATTCATGAAAGTGGTGTTGCCGTTGAGCATAGCAGCAAAATCTTTGTTGAAGACCAGTGCAAGAAGAATCTCAAGTGCAGGAAGTTTAGCTTTGATTGGATTGAATTGTTCTTCAACAGCACATCGAAGAAAAAGAGAATGACCTTCTTGTTTGATCAATTCTTCTCGAATTTGATCATGCTGTGTCAGTACTAAATAATAACATGAATAGTTAGCTACTGTGTGAATGTTTTATGAAATATTTGAAGTAAAATTCCTAAGGATATGCCTACTTTTCAAGTTATATATTGGTAAAACTATACGTTCAATGTTTATCATATTCTAAATTAAAGTTTGCTTGGACCTTTCTTGGACTAATTAGTTGTTTCCGAATGTATTGTTTAAAAAAAATGGCTACGAAGATCACGCATGCATTGCAATGAATAAAAGTCATATTTGTTTTCTGAATTAGTATTATTACTAGAAGAAGATAACCAAAGCTAACCTTTAAGACTTCGAAGACTATTGTGTAAGCGAGCTTGATAAGAAAAACCAGCATCAATAGTATCCTTAATAAAAGTGATAAAAACACAGGCAATTCTACTCGAATTTTCCAGTTGTTTTATATCTTCTTCTGCCATAATTACTGCAAGAATTCGATAGGCTTGTAAATGAATTTCATCATCATTGTTTGATGTTCGCAAAAAAACATTCATGACATTGACTAATTCAAGACTTTTAAGATAAATAACAAGTTCACGATCCAGAGTAAAATAGAAAAGAATTAGAAGAAGATCTTGAACAAGAGGAATAGCAGCTGGATCGATGGTTACAGGATTCGATTTGGCGATGGACAATAAAATATGTTTAATCGTATCGGCGATTTGTTGACATGCGTTTCGCGTTTCATCACTAGTAATTATGTCATCGAGATCTAATCGAAAGAATAAGTTTGTAGTATGTAGCATGAGTTCACACATAACTGAACCCCATGAGACATATGGTGGCAAGCCAGTATATTGCTCACTCAGCCAACTATTGAACCATTTGAGGTGAGTACGTCGAATACGTTCAACTATCTCCTGGCGGCGATTACCTGCATACCAGCCTATTTGGTTGGGATAATATTTAAGTATAGTACGTTCATCATTTGAAAGAAAATCTGGTTGTTCTTTAGCCACTTTTTCGAACAATTGTGTATATAAAGGCGAACAAACTTGATCAACAGCTTTAGCTAACTCATCTGTAAACTCTGTGTAGATTTGAGCCATAGTTAACGACGTTTACTCATAAAAAAAGGTGTCTTTACGTGATGAAATAAATGCGGAATAACATATTTCATAAACACATGTGTAAGAGTAACCTGTTTTTTTCTTTGTCTTGACGACAAAGTTTATATTAACAACACAGTGAAAGAAAAGAAAATACCTCATAATGTAAAAGCTTCAACCATAATGAAATTCTTGCCATATCGGTCCTGTTGATTTCTTTTACAGAAATAGTAAAATTATTGCAAGAAAAAAGAGTCTTCTATCGCCATGCATGCCGCGATGCATATAGAACGCGTAGAGAATAGGCAATTATTTCTTTGCTAGGCAAAACAATATATTTATTATCAGCAGAAGTGAATGTAGAATATAAAGAGAAACATAAGTAATTGATTATACGAAGCGAAAGACAAGTTTTTATTGTCTTATAATTATAACTCAATGTCAGAGATTTTATCATTAAATTGATGATTCCCATGTTTCACTTAATTACGATGAATTAATTAATAATATGTTAAGACAAGGTCCGTCAGATGGCCACGTTACTCGACCGAAAGACCACTGAAGAAAACAATTTTCGTCAATTTTGTTTTCTCATGTAAAAGCTCTGATCAAATCGTAGGCAAGTCTGAAACACTAAAGCAATTGAGTTCACTTGTGAAAAAAGAGAGCTAAAGTAAGCAGAGTAACTTTGTTTTGACTTTTGAAAATCACTCAGAAACAGAATAGTATAGGCGACAAAATCATTTTATCTGAGTAAATAGCATAGAGAGTAAAGAAAACACTATAAGTCAAAAAATACTCAATACTCGAAATAACAGTATTTAGGATTTTATTTGAGTGGTACACGAATTGTTTCAGTTCTGTCTTTTGCAAGATATAGTCTACGTCAAGACACATCTTTTGACCTTAATTTGTTTAGTTTAAAAACTTGGAGAATGGATGACAAATTTGCATGAGTTACGCAGTGACTTCTCTTTCTGAACGATCATTGATTCTACACCGAAAAGTCATATTATATCTTCAAAATCGAAAAATTGACTTCAGGTACATGTTTAGCGCACTAAATTGCGTCGGGTATGTTACATTAAAATGATCACTCGCTTATACTTAGTGCAGTCAAGATCATGAATGAACTTAATTGATAAATGAAAGACCGAGACAATATAGTCTGAATAGTAATACGTGCATGTTGTTAGCGATTGAGTTTCGAGTTTTACTTCAGAACTATTTGACTTGATGAAAATTTGAAAAATTAAACATTTTGGGTGTGAAGTGGATGTGGGTGTGTGGATGTCGGTGCCAGTGCCGGTGTAGATTTAGAGAGGCTAGTGCCCACATCTACACTACCCAGACCCACACGCATTCGCACCCACACCAACACCCACACGCCAAACTAGTGAGACATGCCTCGATTAGGGTTTTTCTACATCTGGCAGTAACATTTGAAAGACTCTCTGAAGTTCTGGCATATTATGAAAAGAAATCGAAACCGTCATTAATCGGATGTAGTAAATTAAATGAGGCTCAAACCTCACCAGTCTCAGTGGTTCTGCGGCCACTGTTAAGTGATCTCTTGAAGAACATGACACTGTATAGATTGTATCTGATCAACATAGAATGTATGAAATTGAAGAAATCTTATTTTTTTGTTGGTTATGATTCATGAATTGAATTTTGAATATTTGCACTCGCACAGTACACACCCACCATTGACATAACTATATCTAAGTATATCATGACCACATCTAAAATAACAAAAAGTAATGAATGATAGCTTATCAGCACTAAACAGTCTCAGAGACCAGTGATCTATACCACTAGAAAAGTAACCATAAAAAAATACAATGAATATGGCCACATAAAAAACAATAAAGTTCAATGAAATTTATTGTTACTTCTTTGATAATTATTTTTCTATTTACCAGAGGCAATCCCACTATTATTACCATGATTGGAACGGTTTCTCAGTCGCAAACGCCATGCCGATGGAGACTAAAATGCCATATAAGAACCATCATTCAATAGTTCTCGTGACTCTTGTCCATCAATATTCTTTCGTTTGTTTTGTTTTATCTTTGATTGATCTATGCAAACGTTATGAATGACCTGTGGACACACAATCGGCGTGCTAAAACTAACTAAAATATCATTATTTGATATGCCATTTTCTGAATGTGCTGAATTATTATTCGATGAAATATCAATTTCTGTGTTAGCATTTGGAACAACATCCATATCAACAATACCTTTATAAATAAATATATTAAAATATTAGAAAAACATTATATATATAGCATTTTCGAATGCAGAACCAATAAAAGACTTGTTTCCTTGCTCATTTTTTTCAATTTCATCGATAACTTCATCAAAAATGCACGAGACATCAAAAACCTCATTAACTGTCACATTGGCAACTGACGGAGTCGTCATGTGTCGATTGTCTAACAGAGAAAATAAAAATACCCGCGGTGCAATACAATCTCTTACTATACAAAAGAACATACATTCAGAATTGTCATTGGATAATATTAAATGGTTTTGCACTGAATTATCTTGAGCATTCATAGTAGATTAATTTGTGATAGTTGGTTTAGAATTTTCCTAATTAAGAATTAATATAAAGAATGTTACCGAAAACCAACCAAATAATGAACCTGTTTCTTTCAAGTTGTACAAACGACTTAACTCGATCATCATGTATTCAGGTAAAGAAAAAACTTCAATAATTCATCTGTAACAACCCCTATTGCATCAAGAGCAATAGTCATATTCTTTTTTAAATATTCACTAAGTATAAAATTTGGATGATGATATTCAAATTTCGTAAGATTTTCATTAAATATTAATCTTTGATCAGCATAAATATGACCATCATGATCACAAACAGGTAACCGTTTTACATATACACTAGTAGATCGTCTACTAGTCTTGATACTTTTTTGTACACATTCAAACAGTTCAGATTTTACTAAATATTCCAAAACAGAACGAACGTCTATCGATGATGCATTGTGTAGTAATGAATTTGAATGCAACTTTGTTACTGTAAAACATAAAGATGGAAACAATAGAATTTCTACAGCAATAAGTTGAAGCTTTTCATTGGATACGTAAGTAACTGCAAATAAAAAGCTGTAGAGATATACTTAAGTTGTGAACATACATACCAAAATCTTTCTTTTTATTTTTTTTTACCACTTTCATTATCTAAACTCTAGATATTATTGATGGGTAATACATCCATCGGTCTTGCTTGGTTTTCGCTCCATATTGGTGCATTAGTATCATCCATTAAAATTTTCATTTGTTGAACTAAGCCAGAAACAAGATCAATCGGTCGAAGAACAACTTGATCAATAATTACTTTATCAACATTAGCTTGTTCACAAAATAGTTCATGAAAAATGCTCTCAATGCGTTCAATAAAAGTTTCATCAATACTTCCAGACGACGGAAATTGTTTATAACGATCAATATATTCAATACATATATCAAATCCAAATTTCATAGTTTGCATAAAAGCTGCATATCGATGGACATGTTGTATTGATTTTCCTAATAAAGAAGACAACAATGCATCTGCTCGATAATCATAACCTGCAACAAAATAAATGCACGTCAATATAGCTTTAAAAAAATGTAATCGAAAACATGGCATACTCTTCGTTGTTTCACCAAGTTTTCCCATGCTACTACACGTGATAATGGTTTATTCTCATATTTGAAAGTACAGTTATTGATTAAACTACAGGCAAGAGCAAATTGTTCAGTTGATGGAATTGAGCAATCCAAAAACAGGGTCTATCAATTGTTCCATAATCGGCGATCCATCCAAAATCCACCAACAAAATCTTCCAATAATAGGATAACATGATCCACCTGCTTTCAACTGAGAAGCAATCGTTCCCATTAATTCACCTGTAGATAATCTCTACATTTTAGAAGAAAATTACACATATATATTGTTCAATCAAAAGTAATAATGAAGTGCCGATAGATTGAATTTGCTTTTTTTCAACAACAACTGTTTTATTAGACAATCGACGAACATATGGAGAAAACATTCGATCTTATAATATCATTACTAAAGCTGAAACAATAATAGATAGAACTAGGCTTCATATTATAACAAAGTAAAACATACTTCTATAGTTAGCTTCTGTTGATCGTTTAGCAAAACAATTAAATAATCCTGCATCGACGAACGCCATATCAGCTTCATCAGTCATAAATATTTTAGTACACTTGTCAAGACAATTCATTAATCCAGCTCTGATAAATTCATCAAGACACATATTCATATTTTCTCCACTAGCTGTACTAATGGTATGTAGAACGTTTCGAATAAGGTTTGTTATGTTACTTTTACCATAAGCTGAAAATCCAAAACAAATACTGAAAATAACATAATGAATAATCATCTAAATACAGCTTCGTGTTAGCCCCATGTTGTACAAATTTAATGGCACATGATGAAGCCCATCTGATTAACACGATACTGAACTAAATTCAAACGTAGTTGCGACAATATTGAATAGAGCTATAGCACATGGAAATGAATCCATACGAAGTAAAAACTGCCAAGCCTCAACAGCTCATTCTCAAAAGAGATACTTTTTAATACTACTCTTGTGTATTTTGTTAATTACAGCGACTCAATGAATTCTATAGCTACTTAATGATTCTACAGCTACTTAATGATTTTCTATAGCTACCTATGATTCTACAGCTACTTAATGAATTCCATGACTACTTAATGAATTTCTGTAGCTACTTAATCATTTTCTATAGCTACTAAATGAATTCCTATAGCTACTTAATGATTTCTTATTGCTACCTATGATTCTACAGCTAGTTAATGGATTCCATGACTACTTAATGAATTTCTGTAGCTACTTAATGATTCCATATAGCTACTAAATGAATTCCTATAGCTACTTAATGTTTTCTTATAGCTACCTAATGATGGGGCGGTTGAGGTGGAGAGAATTTAAATATTCAAAATTTGAATATCTATTGGGTTCCCAAAAATATTCGAATATTCATAAAATTTTTTTTAATGATATAGCTTGAGCAGGGAGACGGTTGAAAATGAGGAAAATCAAATATTCATAATTTTAATTTTAATTTAGTTTTTGATGAAAAATCCAAATATTAAAAATTTGAATAGCCATTGGATTCGTTATAATATTCGAATATACATAAAATGAATCTTTTTAATGATATAGTTTGAGCAGGGAGATGGTTGAAGGAAAAAATTCAAATATTTATGATTTGACTTCGTGTTAATGATTAAGTTTCATGATTAGGTTTCTAAAAGAACTCAAATAAAAAACTTCAGTATTCACAATTTGAATTCCTATGTTGGGTTCATAAAAATATTCATGAATTGAATTATTTTTTAATAGTGTAATTAGAGCAAGAGGTTCGTCAAAAGAATCTAAATATTAATAGCTTCAATGTCTATTTGGTTTGTAGAAAAATATTGATTTCTTTAATGTAAATCAGTGAAGCGTTTTATGAAATAAAAATTCATATATTCGTAATTGGAATCCGTACTTGGTTTGTAATAAAGAATTCAAATATTTATAATTTTGTTTGCTACTTGGTTTAAAAAAGTTCCAAAAATGATGACTATTATGGCATATTGGTTTTTTAAAATATTTCATTTATTCTTCTTCATGATATTATGAGCCATTCAGATATAGATTCTTTGTGAGATTATGAGAGGTATTTTGTCTATGCATAGTAGCGAGCAAAGAAAGAGAGCACAATATTGAGTTGTGAGCCACAGACAAAAAATGCAAGTAGCTTAGAGATCTATTAGCTAGTCAAATAATCATCAGTATAAAGCTTTTCAATATTTAAGAAATCATATTTATAGGCATGAAAAGGTTATAATAGCTATAAATAATGAAGGAAATATTTCATATCGTTTAAATGGCAATTAGTTTATAAATAGCAATGGTTTTTATAATTATCCACGAGGTTTTTAACCGCTGTAGTATGTTAAAATGACTGCGGAGTCTTTTAATCGTCATCCAAACTCCAGATACGTACACCAATTTAAAATAAACGTGAAATGTCTTAATAATCAAAGCAAAACTTGAAGTAGTTGTAGAATAATTAGGTACCTACAGGAAACCATAAAGTCGGTATAGAAAATCATTAAGCTGCTATAGGAATTCATTAAGTAGCTATAGAATCATAGGTAGCAATAAGAAATCATTAAGTAGCTGCAGAAATTCATTAAGTAGCTATAGGAATTCATTAAGTAGCTGTAAGAATTCATTAAATAGCTATAGAATCATTAAGTAGCTGTAGAATACCATTAAGTAGCTATATGAAATCATTAAGTAGCTATATGAATTCATTAAGTAGCTGTAAGAATTCATTAAATAGCTGTAGAATCATTAAGTAGTTGTAGAGAATCATTAAGTAGCTATTGCAATTCATTAAGTAGCTGTAAGAATTCATTAAATAGCTGTAGAATCATTTAGTAGCTTTAGAAAACCATTAAGTAGCTATTGGAATTCATTAAGTAGCTGTTAGCTTATTTTCAAAAGTATCTCTTTTGAGAAGCTACGGTTCCTGATACTTATGAGTTCGTTAAATTATTTCATTGAAATTCTTGAAATTCTTTTATTTAGTTTTGAAACATTCGAAATGAATAATTTTGAACAATTTTGTCAAATAAATCTGATTTTATTTCGAAAACAAACAAAAAAAAAATATTTATTTAAATAGCATGTATTTACACTTGAACAAGAAGAATATATGACAGAAGAAATAACTTGGTCATTTATTCAATTTTATGATAATCAACCATGTATTGATTTAATTGAAAGTAGATTAGGAATATTAAATTTATTAGATGAAGAATGCAAAGTTTCTTTATTCTATTTGTTGTTTGTTTTTTTTATTTATAAATAAAATAAAATATTGTAGATGCCTAAAGGATTAGATGAAAATCGGCATAGAAAATTAGTTAGTCAATATGGAAAACATGCGGATTTTTCAACAAAAAAAAATATGCAGCTAATTCAACATTTATTATAAATCATTTTGCAGAAAAAGTTGAATATTGAATTGATGATTTTCTTGAAAAAAACCGTGACACTATACTTGAAGATCAATTTAAAATGTTAAAAGAAAGTGAACTAATAGGATATTATGCTTTTTTTTTTTTATATTAAATTCTTTTCATTTCAGCTTGAAATTGTTGTTCAGCTATTTCTGAAAGAAGATGATACAACAAATGGTTCGAAAACATTAACATCAAATAAATCTTATCAAGTACAAAAAACAGAAACATTACAAAGGTCATCGAAAGTTCAAGCACAAAGAAAGAAAACTGTTGGATATCAAGTAAGTTTTTACAAATAGGCATATTATTTCAATCAAAACTCATTTTTTCAGCGTCTTTCACTTGGTTCACAGCTCGGTTTTCTACACATGATGTCTTTTTTAATTAAGTGTGGATCCAAACACACCTTAATCTATTTTGCACTACATGGATATATTTTGTTCGGTTTCAAACACAGGATTGATTTTTATTTCTTTGTATGAAATGTTTCTTTTACTGAGATTTGAGTAAATGAAAACTTCTTTCTAACTTGTCTTTTGTTTTCGTTTGTATAACTGAGTTGTTTGAAAATTTCTAAAAAGATCTGATGAAATAAAGTTTGTGTTTTTTTTATTAGTTCCGTGAATCATTAACAAGTTTAATGGCAGCATTAAATCTCACTGAACCTCATTATGTTTGTTGTATAAAACCTAATGATAAAAAAGCTCCATTTACGTAAGTTTCTTAATTAATTCGTAATTTAATCTATATAGTGAAATAAAATTAAAGATTTGAATCTCGTCGTGCAGTCCAACAATTATGTGCATGTGATGTTTTAGTAACAGTTTGTATAAGTGCAGCTGGTTATCCATCTCGTTGAACTTATCATGATTTTTTTGTTTGTTATCGTTTATTAATTCGTTCATCATTAATTGATCGTACAAATTATCGTCGAACATGTGAAAATATTCTTAAAAATTTAATAATTGATCGAGATAAATATGAATTTAGAAATACAAAAATATTTTTTCGTGCTGGACAAGTTGCTTATTTAGAAAAATTACGTTCCGAAAAACTTCGTGCTTGTATTATTAAAATTCAAACAATATATCATGTTTATTATGCTGGTAAACGTTATCTTAAAATTCGACGTACAACAATTGCACTTCAAACATTATCTCGAAGATATTTAGCAAGAAAATATGCTCAACAAATTCGTCTTACACGTGCTGTTACTTTATTTCAATCCTTATGACGTATGCAATTGGCTTATAATAGTTTTCAAACACTTCGTGTTATTTTAATTGATATTCAATCATATTGTCGCGGTTATTTAGTTCGACAAAATCTTCAACAAATAAAATTATTTCATTACAACATAAAATTGATGAACAAAAAAAAGATAATGAACGTTTAATTATTAAAGAACAAGAATTTGAAAATTTGAAAAAAGAATTTGACCAATTAAAAATTAATAATAAAGAACTCAAACAAAATTTAAAAAAACAATCAACTTTAGAAGAAGAACTTCAACAGTAAGATAATCAAATTTTTTATTTGAAATTTTCTAAGATTTTTTCTAATAGACTTTGAACAGAAATCAGATAATGTAACCATTAGTTCTGATTTAATTCAAACAAAACAATTAAAAGATGAAATTATTTTGAAAAAATAATGAATTGTTGCACAATTACAAAATAAACTTGAAAGTAAAACAAAAGAAATTAAAAAGATTTATCTTTAACACATGTTAAACAGCTTGAAGAAGAATTAAATATTGAAAGATAACAAAGACAAAGACTTGTTATTGAAATGCATAGATTAGAACAAATATGTGAAAATCTTCAAAGTAAATTACAAAATGGAAATCTTAATAAAGCGAAATCAGCACCATCTGATTCAAATATGACTTGGGATTGAAAATTTATGGATACACTTGATCTTGATGATTTACCTGTAAATATTACAATTTTAATCATTCGAAATTCATAGTTTTCGGGGGAAAGAGTTTAACGGTTGGCGAGGAGGGGAGACTACCTGCCACTTTCCTTACTTTTAATAGGAATAGAGCATTTTATTTTTTATTCAGTGATCTTGATAGGACTAGAAAACATTCCAAGGTCTGTTCATCAAGATCCTCTTTCACTAATAATACGAATTCTTAATTGATGAAACAGTTAGGATGACCTCTCCAAAATTGATTATTCTTACCATATAATAAACCTATTTCACAAACATTCTTTTTTTATCTTAAACTAATGATCTTGATTCTCTCTATCTAATTCAGATATTGATCGATGTTTTAATTTAATCTTTTCAATATTTAACATATGCAAACAAAGGAAGTCTTATTTGAAAATAAACAAGTCGAATAAGTATTAAGAAATTTTAAACCTGTGGGATTTTAGATTAATAAATCCCACAGGCAATTCGAACAAAAATTGAAAAGAAGAAAAACTTGTTTTCTTCTTTTTCTGGTCTTACTAGAGGGAATTAACATTTATTCAGTTAAAATACACACAAGATCTTGTCTTTATTACGTCAAATAAAAATATTCAACCATCTTGATATGGTTAGTCTTAAAAGAATAATTTAAAACTAAGTTATGTAATTCTATCTCAATGTATATCGTAATTTCAGTTATGTGGGTCAATCCACTAATAGTACTAGTGATACTGATTAATGCATATATTTTCTTTTATATTAGGATCAAGGACCATTGAACAATGATGGTTTAACTCCTTGTCGTCCTCCTTCGAAGCAAATGTACACTGTCTTTATATATGAAAAGAAAGAAAGAAAGAGAAAGAGATTAAATTCATGTTATACATTATCACATGACAACTATTACTAGTTTCTATTCATTTTCTGTTAGCGTCAATTATGGATCACACTGAAGCTAAACGAAGATTAAGATGTTTCCTCTAGTCTAACTGACTTAGAATATCTGCCTGGATAGCAGAAGGTATGGGTTCGAGTCCCACGAAAGGTATCTTTTTCTTCGTTCTGTCACATAACATTAGTGACACTGCTTGTCCTTACGTTCTATACATATTAGAGCTAACATTTTCTATCGTACATACATCGACAGAAGGCCATGCTTAGTACTGTTCGATGTTGCCGAATTTCTCTGAATTTTTTTCTATATACATGTATTTGTTTTTATTCATTTGTTCCTCTTGAATGTTCTTAATGGTCAGATAGATAAATAGTCGTTCATTTCAATCGATAGACGAGCGACAATACACTTCTATTCTTCTAATCTATGAGATAGATGAATACATTTTTTCAATAAACATCTTTTGGTTCACTTTTAGTTCGAAAACAAATAACTTCATATTGTCGAATAATGTCAGTGAATAAAAATCGAGACGATTCAAAAGGTATGTATAGATACCTTTTAATTAATTAAATATATATTCAAATATTTACTTAATAGGTGATTCTGACGGAGATAATGATTCATCTAAATGTGTTGGTCAACGAATTGACGTTAATACAAATCATTTTCCAATCAAGTTTTCTAAACGATCAAACGGAACAGTTTTCTATCAATTTGATGTTAAAGTTGAAATTTTAATGCTTGATGGTTCATGGCATTCATGTAACAGAGATGAACGTTTGCAAGTTCTTAAAGCAATCATTCAACAAGAACATTTTCCATTTGTTTGGTATGATGATGAAAAATATTTATATGCAAAAGAAGATTTAACCTGATGGATACCGATGATTCTTGCGTTCTCTACAATTATA